GAATAAAGTTGATTCTCTGGTTTCCACACTAAAATCAAAGATTATTGAAAAATTCTAATGGAATTTTCTTGGCTTTAAAGTTGTCCAGCTGTCTTGAGAAGAACACACTCAATCCACTGACAGAAATAAAATGATAAAACTATTTCACATTTAACACGTTACCTTTGGTGACAGATAAAATGAAAACCAGGGACAGATTTGGTCCACGGGCCTTGACTTTGACACATGGGCACTACCTATTTCACTAAACGATACAGCAATTGGGACATCTGTCCATGTAGTTAGAATCTACATAACAACATTTATTCTCAACTGTGGCAACATAATCTAATAAAAAAAGCTCAAAAAGCTGATTTAAAGCTTAAAAATATTTATAAAAAATCTCGTCTTTGATCTTAAAGGAATGTTTAACACGACTCAATTTAAAGTAAATACAATGGGTCTAAATAACTGTGTAAATTTAATGGTTGAATTTGTGACCGCTGACCCGGATGCTTTGCCCACTTGTAACTATGAACTGGTCTGTTGGCCTTTTGTTAGGTGAAAAAACGTTAAATTTCCACAAACTGCTGATCATTTTGCATCTTTTAAATGGAGGATTTGAAAAGAATAACAGCGTTTTACCTTTTTGTTTTGTTTTTTAAATGGAGTGGCCCCAGAGTGCTCAAAGATCACTATTTATCCAATACGTAAACATTTGAATATCACACCTTGGGCGTGTAATCAGGTAATTGTCCTCTGATTGGAGGGTTGAGGGTTCAATCCCCAGTCCCTTCAGTGTAGTCAAAAGTGTCTTTGGTTGGCCTGGACATGGAAAGGATCGACAGACTGTCTGTGGGTGGAGGGGCATGGCTGTTCTTAGCTGGTTGTTTAATTCCAGTAATGAGTGTTGGCCCTACTGCCTACTGATTTATCTGTTTTGGTGTGAGTGAGGATACAAAAAACTGCTGTATTTTACCTGAAGAAGTTAAAAAGGTGCTATAAAAGTTGTGGACCTTGTGTGATCCCGTGCTGGCAAAATAAGTCAAGTTGAGCTCAGGCTGCAGGGCCAAAGACTTAAACATTGAATAAAATTTGTGTAATAAGTCCATAATGACACCATCTAGTGATCCCAGCAAAATATAGGATCTTAATAATCTACCTTGTAAATAAAAGTATTCTATCAGGTTTGTCTTGAAATAATGGTTTTAATTACCTTTGAAATTATCTATTTTTCTCTGTCGGCTGCTGTAGCGCTGGGAAATCCCTTCATGTAAAGTTTGGGGTCATTGTGAAGCTTAGAGATTCCCCTTTTTAACATATGACTGGATTTCATGTTGCTATCACTACAAACCAAAACTAATCTTGTTTTTACAACAAACTAGCCTGTTTCCAGGTGATACATCGCCAAATTTCAACAAAATGCAGATCATTTTGAAGCTTTTTAAAAAGGAAACTTGGAAAATAATAATAAATATGCATAAATGCAGTGCTTTTTAATCCTGAGAGCCTATAAATCACAACCATCTAATACGGACTTTCAACAGAAATTGGTCCACTAGGTTTTACACACAGCTTTGCACAGACTGATAAACCTTTGCCCATCTTCATGCTTTTTATACCCTATCCTCCTACTGACAAGTTGCCAACTAACCCATATAGCTCCTCCAGCTGTTTCRTATTCATACTTCTTACGTTTACCCTAAACTCATTTAATTTGTTTATTTTGTTCCATTGTGAAAAAAATATGTGTTTGAATATTGTTTTACATTTATGCATTTTACTTTTATTGGAATATATGTGGTGAATTTAAAATGAATTGCTGTTCAAAAAAGCCTGTCATGAAGATATGACCTGTCCAGAAACTTTAATGCCAGCGTGTTTATTTTGCTCTCCCACATCAGACATTTTCTAACCGAGCATCTCTGTTGTCTTTGTCTTACAGATGCATGATCGCYGATGAGGTAAGCAAACAGTGAACTGAAGTCAGGAAATCTATCGTCCTGGGAAAAAAGGCAAAGAAAAATGAACCTGAGTCTTTGCTGCATGCCTTCCAAATTAATTTGTCAGCTCTGAAACRCACTCCCTTGTGCCTAATCTGTTTTGACACTGGAATCATTCAGAGACCTTATTACTCTTGGGCCGCACGTAAGCTCGGCCGTCGTATGCAATTTGCCACAGAGTCTCCATGCGATTGACTTGTTTTGCCTCCCCCCATGTGGTGATTTTTGAAATTTGTTTATTTGTTTTTGTGGTTCCAGATGGGTCTTGGGAAGACAGTGCAGGCCATCGCGGTGGCGTACGCGTACAGGCAGGAGTGGCCCCTCCTGGTGGTGGTGCCCTCTTCCCTCAAATACCCCTGGATCGAGGAGCTGGAGCGGTGGATCCCCGAGCTGCAGCCTGGAGACATCAATCTGGTGGAGAACAAGAGCCACACCATGTAGGTCATCGCACCCACACCTCCATTAATCTTTTATGGCTTTTCAAGCACCCGAGCCGAGGTACACACCAAGCAGATAATATTTAAAGTCCACATCAAATGTTAGCTCAATATCTGTAAAATTGACTGAGTTGTAGACACTTTTTTTGTATTTTCTAAGGACAGTTGTTTTTACCGACCACCTTAGATTGAATTGTTTCCTCTAGTTTGTGAGATATTTTTGATTAAACACAAGCGCCTGCCTCCTCAAAGATGCATTAACCAGACAGCAGAATCAAACAGTAAATACTTTAATTTATTTAACATTGTGTCACTTAATGAATATAACTGCTATAAATGATTAGTGGCTCATTATGATTCTGAATATGACTGGATTATTCTCATTGTATTGCATGCTTAAATTAAGATAACTGCACACAGCAAGTTTCTCAGCTATAAATACCTCGCTTTTATTATATTTGTGGTAAAGTTGGACAGCCATGTTGRAGTTAAAAACCTTCATCGTTTCTTGTATTGTTGTTGCCTTAATGCTCCTCAAACCGTGCCTGCTAACCTGAACAGTGTGGGTTTGTGCTCTTCAGGAAGTTTCTGTTTTTGGAAACATACAACACAGCCTAGTACTTACCATGTACATGAATGGTAGTTACCTGGTATTAAGTGGGTACATGCATGATAAAAAGTCAATTTGTGTTGCAGCCAGTCCTTATAGGTGGCCTGCAAGTACTAGATACTATTATTTAAGATGTAGACATCAGTATTTATAACTGGAAAGAACCAGGTAGTAATCAAACATATAATCTGTAAGTACCAGAAACTACTCAGGTATGTAACTTGTAAATACCAGGTACTAACCTGGTTTTTACCTTATAAGTTTCACATTTGTTTAGTACCCAGTACTCACGAGTATCATGATCAAACCTGGTTCTTATTCTGTGAGTATCAGGTACTGAACAGCAGTGTTTCCCCTACGAAATTGGTCTTGGGGCRGGGTGCGCTACATGTTTTATGAAAACATAAATTTACGTGACTCACCTTCAATTATGGTAATAAATTTACACATACATGAATATTTAATTGCCTAACTACATCCTAAAGTTAAGGACTCCTCATGATAATTATTAATAATAATTTATCGTAGCAATTTTTTTGTCCGTCCATCGTAGCAAATTATTATTGATAATAAGTGATCAGAACTGTGTGCAGCAGATGATCTGAGTCCAGAGTTCTCAGTTTGAAACCTCCTGGAGC